CTTGAACCACGAAAGCATCAAAGCAGAGACTAGCCGCATGTGCTTGCCAGGTCCTGCATGACAAGCTACTACACACTGTCACCTGCGGAACAAGAACATGAGCAGCCACCTCATTCACAAAGCAGTTGAGATAGAGCATTTTCTTTGGAAGCCCCACGTCTCCTCCGGGCACGCGCTGTGCCATTGCCGTTTGCAAAATGGACGACGGAGGCCCGAAGGGAAATTGTGAGGTTTGGAGTTCTAGAATCAAGCCCGGTAATCGCAGGGATTCGAAGAGCAGGTCCGGCTTACTCGGCGTCAGGGAGTGAAATTGACGCATGTAGCGCTCTGCAGACGCAGGAGTGTAATTGCAGCCTTGTGACGGGTACTCTGTCAAAGCCAGACTTTAAAGCCATTGTGTTCGGGACACTCTCACCCTCAATCCAAAAGCCCCTCTCCCACATCACCCCGAAAAGACCCCACAAATGCCCATAGTGACAACAGGCTGGTGGGCAGTGGCACGTCCTGCGTCGAGCCCAGAGGCCGAGACTAAAGGATTAATATAGGGCCTTAGTAATTGGAATAGGGTTTGGGGGTATATTATACATAATCATCATAAGGAACAGCCAAAACCCTATTCTAATTATTAAGGTCCCTGCATTAGGGCTTTTGGTGGGACACTTGGACTCGTACAAGTACCCGTTTGGCCATGCTTGTCGTCGTGCGTTGTTGCTCTCGTTGGCATTGTCGGCTTCATGGTATCTGAAGCATTGAATCTATGACCGTGGCTGCTGGAGCCAATGTTGAGTGAAAGGGTGGAGACTGCGGTGCAGCAGGTGGGTGAAGTGTCGCAGCTGCCGGCTGGTGACTCCCTAATGGCTCTAGCAAGCTGGAAGGCCTCGCAACTCGCCAGCCTCTTCGCAGCCCGGCCTTCGACGCGGCACTTCATGAAAGAGCAGTACCGCCACTTGACGATGTGACCCAAACTCCGACACCCCGACTGTCCGATGCTGCCTCCAAGAGCAGGATTCTCAGGGGCTGCGAACTCCACAGCCCTGGGCCAAGGCGAGTCTTATCCTTTTCGGACCTCGGCCGATGCCAGGTGCGCAGTTTGTGTGTTTTGCATAGGTTGTTGAGGAGAGATCCGGTCCGCAGATGCACGGGAGCTGTGTGTTGAAACTGTTCCAGCTTTCGACTACTATCCTTTTGAATCCTCGAAGATGACCGCCTCACCCGTTTCCGAGACCATCATGCTTCGTAATCTACAAGACTTCCCATGCCTTGTGAACAGCAATGACTTTCGGGTGGTTTCGCGCATGACATAATCTCTACTTAAAGGATCCTGGGACTTAGTAAGTAAGGTTATAAGTCCCTTAATTGGGGTTATAAGTATATAGTTCCCCTAATTTTAACCCTACTTACTAAGTCCCATGATCCTTTAAGTAGCAGTGCAGACCCCCTGAGTGCACGGGGACGGTGCTGAGGGAGGCGACTTGCAGCTCCTTGGCCTTCTTCCCTCCGTTTGTATTCTGGCGGCCAGGTACGAGCTCAGGCGGCAAAACATTCCGACGACAGACTTCATGCGGATGTTTGAGGCATAGCGGCCGCGTAGCGGCCGCGGGGCTGATGTGTCGTGTTTCAGCTTGGAAACACAACAGACTTGCTTAGATCGGCAACCCACACATTCAAATGTCACGAAAGCTACCTTCCAGGCTTCGCTTGAGTTTCAATCTTGCTTTTGTAGGGCAGTGAAACCGCTCGTACTTGCAAAGTTATTCAAATATCTTTGTGTCCGAAGAGTGCCTGAGGGTGACATGAAGTATTGATGGCATGCTTAAGGGCTCAAGAAGGTGGGTAGAGCTTCGTGATCAGTTTAGCTGTCACCACTTGATACTGTCTGTGTGTGTTTTTTTGTGGCATGGCTTTTTCTC